AGTGATTGAGCAGATGGTAAATGCTGCCCTTGCAAGGAATCTTTTGGAGAATAGGGGCTGGGCATTAGTCAATGGCTTGGGGCTTGACTTGCTTAGGAGAAATCGTGATGACCACTGGGGAAGTCCTGTTCTGGGCAGCATTTCTGCTATCCTACGAGCATGTTTTTCCACTCCACTTCAGTTAAATTGGCCCTGCACTGTTTCTTTTCCTACCTGGTCTAATCATCCCATTCAGTTTTGTCTGGCATGCATGCCAATGAACACAGACTTCATATTCCGGATTTAGAGAAAATGTGATTTGTGATCACAGGTGACTTCTGCTTGATGAGAGCCATGTGCTCCTCCAGAAAAAAATGTGCTCTCTTTCTCTCTTTCTTCCCTGGGACTGGATTCTGTTTTTTAATCAGCTCATTAAGAACCTTGGCAGCTTTTGAAATTTCTGCTGTTTGAGGTATGGAAAACTACTGCTTGAGTTTGGTGTAGTAAACATAAACAGTGACAGCCAGGTGGTAAATACCACACACACACACACACACACACACACACACACACACACACACACACCTGTGTTTTTAAAGGCACAACTCACAACAGCTAAGTCATAGAACCAGTCTACGAATACATCAACAGATGAATGGATAGAGGAAATGTAGTATTTATACACAATGGAGTACTACTCTGCCATAAAAAAGATAAATTTCAGTCATTTGTAGGAAGATAGATACTCCTTGAGACCACAATGTTAAGTGAAATAAATCAGGCACACAAGCTTAAAAGTCACATGATTTATCTTTTATCATAATCCCAAAATGTAAATAAATTAAAGAGCAAAATAGAAGACAAATCATAAAAAATGGGAAAGAGACCAAGATTTTGACCAAAAGAAGATACAGAGGGGGAGAAACAAAGGGAAGGGGAAACAGAGATAAAAAGAATTAAGATGTGCTATGTACATTATCAACTTCCCAGGATGAATGCAATCATTATGTATGCAAATATGTACTACTACTATATCCCACACACACACACACACACACACACACACACACACACACACACACTCCTGTGTTTTCTAAAAGGTGAAATCACCCCAGGAGCAACTTGTCCTCTTCCTCTTCAAAAGGTAGGGATTCTCTGTCCAGCTCCTCAAGACTTTACCTGAACACCAAATTGCTGATTCCCATAGCTTATGCTAATTCTCTTGCAACAGCTTCTTGATAAACTTTGCAAACTGCACTTAATTATCTGTGGGTGACAGTATTCGTGGTTATTATTTAAAAGCAGTAGTCCTCAGCTATTATTTTTGAAACACACTACCCTTTTAAAATTGAGGGAAGCTATATACCTTCTTGAACACTGTAATGATCATAAACATAGACATCATAAAAACAAATTCAGGGTCCTCATAGACCCCTTTGAACTCACGCATGGATCCCAAGTTATGATTTAGAAGAAGTGATAAGATCCACTTTGTTAACACAATGCATCATTTCTTATTCTCTTTATTCCTTCAGCCAATCTACAATTAAGGAACAGTCCTGTATACCAATGTGTTTAGCCAGCCTTTTTAACTCAAGGAAAGTGGGGCCCACAGCTACCCTTTTATTTGTTTCCCTGTTAAGTTTGTTGGTACATTTAAAGCAAATAATACAGTTATATTCATCATTGGGATCTTGCACCTTTACATGATCTATCTTGGTTCTTATTTTTTCCCATACTCCTGCCCTCCCTTCACCCTCTTCACTCTTCCCTATTTACAAAGACTTTGTTTCCATTTTTTCCTTTTTTCAGATATTTTTTCTTTTCCCTTATTTCCTTTCCCTTCCCCATTCCCACTTCCCCTTTAGCCATTTTCTTACCCTTTTATTTAGATTTGTATTTTGCTTCCCTCAGACAACATTACCCCCATGTCTCCAATGTGGGAGCAGGTAAGTACAGATGGGATGCAAGTGAGATCTATAGGACCACTAGAGTCAACTTGCCTGATTGTGAATTGCATTGAGTCAGGTGAAATACGTAGGTGAAAACATTGAAAAATGAAAGGTGCTTCTGCCAAAAGAACTTTTCAGTAGCATTTGACAAAATGACCACCTTCCACTCTTCTTTTTTTTGTATACTTTCTCTTGCTTCTTCATTTTTTTATCATTCTCCTCCTCAGTCTTCTTTGTGGACTCCTCAGATACTTTGAGTCATCAGTTGGACAACTGAATTTCTCATTTTTTTCCCTCGCAAACCAGTCTTCCTGTCTTTCTTTACTTGGAAAAGCTCATCACTACACAACTGTTCTCTCAAACCAGAACCTCAGCCTCATTTCAGATATTTCCTTACTACACGTATCTACTTTAGTCAAAATTCTCCTGCCCATCACAGCCAATAGGTCTCCTAACCGATCTTCCAGTGTCAAGACTTGTGTTCCTTCAGTCCACCCTCCACATTGCTTCCTAAGTGGTCAGAAGTAAAATTGACACTGTTACTTGCAGGCTCAAGGAAGCATACTAGGATTGTGTTTCATTTTTTCATGTATATGCTTTCCCTTTTTATACTTAAGCATTTTCATCTTTGTATTCTCAGCACCTAATGGGTGTCTGCATATAGCAAGTCCTCAACAAAAGTGGCTGGCTGGCTGGTTGGTTGAATGAGTGAATGATTAAACATTTAAACACTTTTTTAAGTTAACTCTGAAATTTTTTTATTGTAAAATTGTATTTATAGAGTTTATTGGTACATTTTAGATGTACATTATGATCACATTCATTATTGGGAATTTGTACCTGTACATATCTTGGTTCTTTTTTTTTTCCCATTCCCCTGCCCTCACTTCAATCCCTCCATCCCTTCCTATAGACATAAGCTTTGTTTCCATTTTTTCCTTTTCTTCAATTTTTTTCTTTCCCTTCCCGTTTCCTCACCCCCTCCAGTTCCATTTCTGCTTTGAACATTTTCTTCCTATTTCACAATATCTATTATACATTTTGGCCTCATTTACACTTTCAGTTTCTCACACCAGAGAAACAATTCGGTATTTACACGTGTGTCCTGTATTTCACTTGATAGTATGGCCTCAAGGTGCATCCATTTAGCTCTAAATGTCTCAGTGAAGACTTTTTAATATCTTCAGGCTAGAATCTGACCTCCTTGGCTTCTTCATTTACAAAGCTCTTCATAAAACGGCTCTGATTACTCTATTCTCATTACAGCCATTACTGCCATACCCTACCCCCTCCCAATGCAGTTCTTATACATTGATGCTTTTGCATCTGGTAGTTTCTCTGCTTAAAATGCTTTCACTGCACAGCACCCATCCCCTGTCTTCCATCTACATGGTGACTTCCTTTAAGTCCTAGCTCAATTGTCAACTGCCTCTCTGTAGTTACTCTGGCAATCTGCTCTCTCTCCTTGGGTCCTGCTGACCCCTCAACAATCAATCAGAATTAATTCTCCCTCATCTGGTTCTAATGGTATTTCACTCCTACCTTCATTATGATATTCATCACTTTCTATTATGTTTATTCATTTCTATAACTATCTTGCAACATTGAGAGATGCTCAAAAGCCAGGACTGGGTCTTGTGGTCTTCTTCATTGTAATATTTCTAACATGCAGCCCGGTGCATAAACACTGAAGAACAAGGTATGCCTTTATGTTGGTGACATGTGTGTTATTTATTTATATTGGAAAAATATTACTTTGAAAACCTGCCAGCAATGTTTCAAGCTCATCAATTCTCTAAAGTTTCTTCCTCTGTAATATGGGATGGTAACTGTATCTTCTTCATGGAGTTGTTGGAACGATGTAGGGAACATATATGTAAATTGTTTAGTTCATCTATCTGCTCAACCATAGCTACTAACTTGTCTCCCCCTCAACTAGGAGAGAGACTATGGAAAAAGGTGTCAGAGTTTTGATACAAATCTGTGGCATTCAATTCAGTCTATAGAGACACACTAGTCAAGCTGCCTATATATTGGTGATATAAAATAACTCCCAACCTGTTAGATGTCAAATATGCAGAGTTTGTGGCCTCACAACACGGAAGAATGAAGGAAAGAACTAAAGAAAGGGCAGGAGAGTTTTATTGGAAATAAAAAGACTAGCTGTCGGGTTTCCAGGAGGGGTCCTGAGTGGGTGGCTGCATGGCTTCTCCACCCAGATCTACTTAATAGACAGAACACAGGAATTGCACAGTTGTTTAGTGGCTGCCTATCACAGGTGGCTCTGTGGATTTAAAATGACCGGATGGAGCTCAGGCTCTTTAAACCCAGTTCCTCAATATGTAAGGTGTAAACTGGGATTTTAGAGAAAAAAAATGGTTATTTTGCATTTTAAATTCCTTGGAACTAAGGCACTTAGTAGGGAGCAGCTACACTTCCTTTAGTAGGGAGTGGGCTGCATTCCACACTGCCTGAGGAAGTTTGTTCTTTGTCCAAATTCCTGGCTCATTGTCTATTCTTAATTTTTATCGAATGGCTGGTCACCCAACTCTATTATCAGGCCCTTCCACTAGTTAACTGCCTTATTCATAAATTAACTAAATAAACTATTTTCCACATTGCGAGGAGGACCACCAAAAATTTACCCTTTCATCCATCTTCTTCACTTTTCTGCCCTAACTTCTGAACAGAGATGCTTCGATGGGACTGTATAAGCAACTGACTGGGAGTGAAGGTCCTAGTGGGGATTCATACTGGACGCGCTGGCTGGGACTAAAATTGCCACTTCAGGCATCTTGTTCAATCTTCGTTCCGCAAACATTTAGAGCTAAACCAATCAGTGTTAGGTATTACCCAGGAGCTTGGGGTTCCTGTAACGGACCAGGCTCATACCCTTGCTCCTTATCACAGAGTAGAGCTGCGAGGGAGTAGGGAAAAATTCTGCACAGCCTAAAGAGAAACAGGAATCAAGCGTGAGAGACCGCTTAGGCGATAGTGCGCAGGCGCTACACTTCGCAGGGGCTGAGCTCTTCCTGCTTCACTTCCGCTGACTCCAGTGGGCGTGCGCGGAGCCGGCACAACGCTTGCGCTGCAGCACCCTAGACCGGAAACTGAATGCGGAGCGCGAACTCGAGCAAAGATGAAGTAAGGTTTCAGTTTGCCGCTGAGGAAGTGGGAGTGGGCCGCAGGGAATGGCCCACACGGGTTTGGGTGGTGGACTGTCTACCCAGCCAGGGGAGGTAGCGGCTTGGGGACCAGGGCGTCTCCTTCCCTAGTTTTGCTCTCTCTTACTTTGGGCAGGCCTATTTTACTTGTCCATTTCTCTCGCCCCCTCCCCCCAGCCCTTTAACTAAGGTCAAGCTAATCAACGAGCTGAATGAGCGAGAGGTCCAGCTTGGGGTGGCCGAGAAGGTGTCCTGGCATTCCGAGTACAAGGACAGCGCCTGGATCTTTGTGGGTAAAGTCCTCATCTTTCTGCAGCAGTGCTCCCGAGTCTTTCCTAGCCTGCTTCTGATCATTTCACCTCATATTCTCCACGCTGTTTTTCATCCTGTCTGCCTGGGAATCCGTTTTTCCCTTATGATTTTTCGCCTGTTTTAGTTTGCTCTCCCTGCCAGTCAGTGCTCTTGGGAGTTACTAATTGACATTCACCTTGCTAATGGTCTTTTCACTTGGTTCCCCAGACTCTCCCACACCCACTCTCCCATTATGCAGTTAAGGAAACCAAGGTGTAGATAAGTTAATAGACTTCTCTCAGGTCACAAAACCAGAACTGTGGGATTCTAAAACTCATGGGCTTAGCCATTATCCAATGTTACTGCTAACTACCCTTTCCCATCCCTTTCCCCTAAGAATTTATCTTTCTCTTGCAGTTAGCTCCTGCTCTCCATTTATGACCAAATTACTGTCTCTATACTCACATTCACAACTAGCAATTCCATAGTTTGGCTGTTCAAAGAAGTTATTTTACCAGATACTGTGCTGAGCACTTTACATATTGTTTATTTAATTTTTATAACAGTCCTGTGAGACAAATATACTAACACCCCCATTTTACAGAGAAGGAAAGAAACGTTTGGAGAAGTTATTTCCTATGAAATAATTAACAGTTGTCTTTATAATCTTTAGTTTACGTGTAGGCGGAGTTAATGATGACATAAACTGTTGTGTTTGTGCTTTGTCCATAGGAGTCGGATGTGAGGATTGAATAATTAGATTTGTTAGGTTAGTGGTGATTCCAGCCTGCCCACTCATAGTTTTTCCTGTATTGCTGGCACCTTATATGTACCTCTGTCATTGCATCAGACTGAATTCTGTGAGAGCAAGGCTCGTGGCATACTTTTTGTACCCCCAATGCCTGGTCCAGTGCACCATACATAGTAGACACTCGATTAATATTTGTTACGCTGCAATGTGATTTTTTCTCTTCTAGGAGGGCTTCCTTATGAACTGACTGAAGGGGACATCATCTGTGTTTTCTCACAGTAAGTTCTTGTTCATTTCCTGCCTCCTGGATCAGCAGAGTAGTTTGCTTCCATAATGCATTTTGTGGCATCAAAAAAAGCCACTTTAATTCTAGGCTGAGTAGCATCCCTGCATGGGGAAGGCTGGAGCTACTGCCCTAGTCTGAGTCAGTCACATGATAGGCTTGTAGAATGTTCTCAGGTAAAAGATCTCAGAAGTTGGATAATTTGGGAGGGTGTCTTTGGGATTCTGGTCTATTATTTTTTTCAGCCTGAGCCTAAACTAGAACAGACTGGAACTCCCAGGAAGGTATTACTTGGCTTATCTCCTTGGGCTCCTGAAAATGAGGGTTAGGTCGTCTGTACCGTCACCTGAGTGGCATTGTGGGATTAGGGTAAAGCACAAAGGTATTGGGGATGGAGGGCCGAAGGTTTAGGATATAGTTTTACTTTCTTTGCTTCTAGATAAGTGTGAAGGTGAACAGTGACCAGATCGAATCTCTTTACTTAGAGGCTAAAAAAACACAGGCTGATGAGGAACAAGTGTGAATAGGAGACATGTTCCCCAGATCCTCATTTGTTCCCCGGTGGGGCTTATGGACCATGGATGTAATAAGCGGATTGGTCTGCTGATTGGATTAGTACAGTTCTAGGTGTGACTGAATGGATTTACTGAAGATAGAAGACCAACCCTGGTGTGAGTAGCACCAACCAGTAGGCTTATAGCCTGAATGGAATAAAAAGGGAAAAGGAGGCTCACTGCTTCCTGCCTCCTGCCTGCACACCATGAACTGTGTTCTCTGCTATGCTGCCCTGCCTTCGAGCCAGCTAACTATGGACTGAGTCCTCTATAAACTGTGAGCTAAAATAAACCTTTCCTCCTTTAACTTGTGTGTTTCGGGTATTTTGTCCCAGCAGTGAGAAAAACTGAAACACATGTGTATTCTATATTCTGCTATGAGATAACTGAAGCAGCACCTAGTGAGAGAATTTTGGCATCTCATGTGCATAGTGGCACTTTGTAGGAGAGGTGCCGGGCAGCTGGTACACAAGATCAGAGCTAAACAGCATGGCTAAACAGTCCACAGGGCCAGAGGGCCTTGGGAGCTCACAGGAGTAGAGAGGACTAGTGTCTTATTTAACAAAGTTTTTAAAACCGGCATTTATTTTTAAATTAACATGTAGTAATTGTACTTATGTATGGGGTGCACTATGATAATTTGTTAATACTTTGTGATTTCTAGCCTTCAGTAGCAGGCAGGGGACTGTTTGAGAGGAGTTGAACATTATATATAGTCAGAAGGCCATAGCAAAATGAACAAAGCCAGCAAACGGGCAGCATAACCTGGCAGAGAACTTGCCTTGGCGGGATAGTTGGGTCATCCATAGGATAGAGTGCCCTTTTGAAGTGGTTGGGCAGCTAATGGGGCAGCAGACCATGGGAAAGGAATCGGGCAAAATTCATGAGAAGACCATGGTAAAGGGACTGGGCAGCCCACACAGGCCACTTTCTCCAATTTCTGGATGCTGGGAAGTTCACAGCAAGTGAATCGTATAGTTTCACCCCTTTGTGGTACCTCTGCTGGATCTATCCTTCCATCTTGCAGGTTTTTCTTTTACTTGCATTGAGCGGTGATTAGCTTGTGTGTATTTTTTGTTTGTTTGTTTGTTTTTCTTTCTTTTTATTGAGTTTAATGGTACATTTTAGGTATACAGTACAGTTACATTCATCATTGGGATCTTGTACCTTTACATGACAGGTCTTGGTTCTCATTTTTTCCCCTTGTCCCTGCCCTCCCTTCATCCCCCTCCCCTCCCCATTTACAAACACTTTATTTCCATTTTTTCATTTTCTCATATTTTTTTCTTTCAAACTTGGGTTGTTGAATGTGGAAATAGTACAATGAAGGGCTATTTGTGTAGGAGAACCAATGATTTCATAATGAATTTAATTCATCATTACTTCAGTAAAACCAACTCTGTTATTTTTGTCAAATTGTCCAGATTTAATTGAGAACCACATTTGATTTTTTTTCTTGGTTCCTCAGGTTCTTTCAGTGGCTGGGATTTGGCCCTTCTTTTTATGCTGTTTCTCACTTAACTTTTCTTTCTGAATATCACTTGTTGAAATCTTTATGTCCTCAAATTTGATTTCTCATAAAGGTCTGTTAACTAGATCTATTAGCCATTTGAATCTATCTTTTGCCAGGTACACTTTCCTAAAATGACACTTTGATTTATTTATTTCTTGCTTCTAAATTTCAGTGTCTTTGTGGTTGTTATGGTGATTATCAATAAGATATACCAGGGCCAAGAATTTAGCTCAGTGGTTCCACTGCCTGCCTTGCAAACGCAAAGACCTGAGTTCGATCCCCGTACCAAAAAATAAACAAACAAAAACGAGATACCAGCCAATCCTTCCAATCTTTTGTGTCTGTACTCCAAGCAAACTGAATCTTCTCCCCTTTTTGCTCTTTATCCAATCTTTCCCCACCACTCTTCTTGAGAAGTGAGTGTAATCTCATCCATCCTTCAAGATGTAGATAAGCCTTTCTTCTTTTGGGCCTTGTTTATGTCTGTACTCTGAAGCCAAACTGTCTGGATCAAATCTCAGATCTTCAGTTTACTAGGTGTGTGACATTAGACAGGTCATTTAAGCTTTCTAAGTTTCAATGTCTTGATCTTCTATACCCAAGGACAGGATTACCTATCTTTTTAGTATTTATTTATTTGAGATGCTCTTGCTATGTAGTTCAGGCTGGCCTTGAATTCACTCTGTAGCCCAGGGTGGCCTTGAACTCATGATGATCCTCCTTCCTCAACCTCCCAAGTAGCTTGTGTGTATTTTTGTATATGTTAATTCTGTATTCTGGCTACACAAAGTGAAGATTGCCTTTGCCGCTGGTAACGATGGCTTTCAAAAGTGCTTAAAATTATAAAGGCAATGTGTTGATACACGTCATTAAAAACATTTGCGGGACTGGAGGGGAGAAAGAGAAAGAACAAAGGATAATATAGAATGGAAAAGGAAATGAAAAGCTTTGGAATTTTGGCCTATTGTTATCTTTCAAAAAATTAATGGTGGATTTTTTTCTTTTTATTGAGTTTATTATCTAGGTATACAATACAGTTACAATCATTACTGGGATCCTGTACCTTCACATGACAGGTCTTGGTTCTAATTTTTTCCCGTTATCCCTGCAAAGGTGGATATTATTTCTAGTGGTTTGCTATTACAAGTTTTATTTCAGTGTAGACTACCGAACTGCTGAGCTAAATCCCCGGCCTAGCATTTTTAAGTTTTATAAATGTTGCCAAATTGTTCTCTGAAAAGGTTGTACCATTTTCCACTCTCACTGGAATGCCCATTTTTCCTGAATTTTCATCAGCAATGATTATTTTAAGACATATTTGCCAAATAGCTTCATTTTACTTGGCCTTTATTTCATCATCAGTGAGATTGAACATCTTTTCATAGCCCATTATTATTTTTTCATAAATTGTCTACTCATATCCTTTGCCAGTTTTTGGTGTTTCTTTTTCTTGTTGATTTTATGAGTCAGGTGTTAAGGATATTAGATCTTTGTTATAATACTTTCTCATGCATTATATACCTGTGGGCTTATTTTAAAAAATTGGATGTTGTAATATATTACCATAATTATTTTTTCTTGATGGCACAAATTGTTCCAATTTGATAGTTAGTAGGAGTCCCTTCAATCCAGCTCTTGTATTTTTTCTTAGTTTTTATTTTGAAATAATTTTAGACTTAAAATAGAAGTTATAAAATAGTATAAAGAATATCTCTGTCCCCTTCACTCAGATTCCCAAGGTGTTAGCATTTTACCATATTTACTTTGCTGTTATCTCTCCTTATATAGATGATATTATTTTTTTCTGAACTATAAGAGAGTGGCAGGCACAATCCTAGTTTATTCCTAAATTCTTCAATGTAGATTTCCCCCACAAACAAGGACATTGTCTTATTTCACCTTAGTACAGTGAGCAAATTCAGGAAATAAGATGATGTTGTACAACATTGACCCAGTCTTTTCACCTTTACCAGATGTCCTGGCAATTTCCTTTATAGCAAAAGAAAAAAAATTGCTTTCTGGTCCTTTACCTGTGGTATAAATTATAAACATTTTCTTCTAGTTTGTCATTTATCTTTTGACTTGGCTTTTTGGGATTTTTTTTTTTTTTGCTGAGAAAAGTTTTTAAACATTTATATATTTTATTTTAGTATATGGTAAAATTGAGGGAAGTATACAGCCCTATGAGTTGTAATTCCTGTATAGATTTGTATAATCAACACAGTTAGAATGAGCAACAGTTCCATCACCCCCATAAGTCCCTTATGCTTGCTCTTTATGGTTTCCTCCCTCAGTATTTTTATATGTATGTGGTCTTATTCATCAGTCTTTTATTGCTTCTGGATTTTGAATCATGATTAGAAGATATTTCTTCCTATCTACCCATTTGTGTTGTACTTGTATGGCTTCAGTTTTATACACTGAAATCTCTGTTCTGTTGTCCATTGTGAGATTTGGATCCAGTTTCATACTTTTTTGGGTTTTGTTTTGTTTTTTCTGAGACATAAGTCTCATAAGTTTTTTCGAGTCTCGTTACGTAGTTCACTCTGGCCTTGAACTATGTAGCTCAGGGTGGCCTTGAAGTTGCAGAGGTCCTTCTCCCTCAGCCTCCTGAGTGCTGGGATAGAAGTGTGTGCCGCAATACTTGATTTATACTTTTTCAAATGGCTATCCAGTTGTCCTAACTCCATGTCACCTTTATCATACACTCATTTTTTCCCTAAATACAGTACTTCAGTTTCATAGCATTCTGTTCTGTTCGTTATTTTATTTGCCAGTGCCACATAGTTATTTACAGAAGCTTTTCAGTACATTTAATACTGTATGTGGTAGAGGTATACTCATTGTTCTTTTTGTTTCCCCTGGTATTACTCCATGTTTATTTTTTTTCTACAAAAATTTGGAATCAGTTTACCCACCTACAGAGGAAAAAAACAAATTTGTATTTTTATTGGGATTATATTAAATTTGTGCATTAATTTGTGGGAAGATCTTGCTGTCTTTATGATATTGAATTATCCTATTCAAGAACAAGAGATGTCTTTATATTTGTTCAAATTATGTTTGTGTCTCTCAGGATTTTTTAAAGCATTTTCTTTATATAGATTTTGTACATTGCTTATTGTTAAGTGTATTTCTAAGTATTTTATCTTTTTTTTTGCTACTGTGAATGAGATTTCTTTTCTATTATATCTTCTGCTTATTTTGTATGTAAGAGCGTGATTGATTTTTAACTGTATCCTTTATTAAATTTTTAGTTTGTTTTCATTACTGTTTTTAAAACAGTAAATTTCCTGGGTGTGGTGGCATGCACTTCAGCACTCTAGGAGGCCGAGGCTGGAAGGATGGCAAGTGCAAGCCCAGCCTGGTAATCTAGTAACTTGGTAAGAACCCGTGTCAAATTTTTAAAAGGGCTGGGGATGTGGTTTCAAGTTCTAGGTAGTGAGATGTTTTTTGTTTCAAATGTTACTTCCAGGTTTCTAACGTTGTGATTTGAGAACATAGTTTCTTCTACTTTGGGGATTTATTGAGATTTGCTTTGAGACATAATGTATAGTCAGTTTTAATGTATGTTTTGTGAATTCTTGAGAAGAAATTGTCATCTCCTTGAAGGATTCAAAATATTAATATATTTACTAATATGACATTAATATTTGTTAATAAAATTATTATAGTATAGAATTTTATATTAATTTCTGTGGTTTATTTCTGAGTGTTAAATTACCTCATGACTGTTTCTTTGTATTTCAAATAGTATTTTTAATTAAAAATTTTGTTTCTGAATTGTAATGAAATTCCATGAAGTATGCCCTTGTTATGTATTAGGATCTTTTTCAATGTAAAATAACCCTTTTAGTTCCACTTAATGTTTTAAATTTCGCCTCGAATATACCGCTCCATCCCTCAAAACGGAATTGAACCTAAGGCCTTTGTATTGAGCTATGTCCCCACGTCCCCTAAAAAATTTAATTTTTTTAGGTCTGGGGATTTAGCTCGGTGCCACTGCCTGCCTCGCAAGCGCAAGGTCCTGAGTTCAATCCCTGTTACCAAAAAAAAAGTATTTCTTAATTTTAAGACAGGATCTTGTTAAATTGCCCAGGCTGGGCTCAAACTTGTGATCCTTTTGCCTCAGGCTTGAAGTTGTTTTTGTTCTTAATATTGCCACCCATTTTTAAACTGGATGATCCTGCTTTATTTTTGTTTTGACTTTTTATTTTCAGCCTTTCTGTCATCTTCTTCTGGAGGATTCTTCTGAATAGACTATAGTATTTGAATTTTTATCATCCATTTTAAATCAATAGTGTCTTTATTTTTTATAAAATAGGTATGGGGAAATTGTTAATATTAATCTTGTGCGAGACAAGAAGACTGGGAAATCCAAAGGATTCTGTTTCCTCTGCTATGAAGACCAGAGGAGCACAATTCTGGCTGTTGACAATTTTAATGGAATTAAGGTAAATGTATTTATTAAGCAGGATTTGGCTGGACTTTTCCGGTGTGTAGGGGCTAGGTTTCATTTTTTACCTGGACCTCCCAAGTTCAGGGACAGTAATTTGGTCAGCTGTGAGGACTGCAGAAGTATGGAGATACATTGGCTGGGAAACGATTCCAGGAAATTTGTTGGCTCAAGGCCCCACCTAAGTTTGCTCTATTTCCCCATCTGTTACCAAATCATATTCCCAGTATCATCGGTACCTTTCCCCCCACCTGCCATGCAGGCCTCCATTTTTTACCTTTCCCTTTTCCTCTTCCATCTTCATCTCTAGTGTACTAGGGAATGAAGAGAATAGCAATTACTGCTCTTGCATTTTGTCCTATGCCAGGGGACCTAGGGATTCATGGTGGCTTTGTAACTTACAACATAGCCATGCATGCCTGTTTTATGACTCCAGTGATCTAGCACATTGGGCCCTGTAAATTCTCTAATTAAAATCTAATGGCAATTCTGCAGAAGTAAGTCATCCTGAAATTTTAAGAGAGCTAATAGTCAAAGTCAAAGAAAAAATATTTTAAAAAAGGTCCAAAATGAGGAATAGAATAGGTGACAGAAGTTTCTCAAGCTTAAAGGTAAGAATAAAAATCTGTTCTTGCACTGGGAAAGTAAAAGCTAAAAATTTCAGATGGCTTTGTTTCTGTAGTAAGTCTGCATCTACTGGCAAATAAAATATGTTTAAGTGAGGGGTTTTGTTGTTCACCTGGAGAATTTAGTTTACAGCACAAGAATCAGTATGAACTGAGTGTACTGGTATGGTGGGGATAGAGCAACGTGTAAGGGCTTTAGAAAAAAATAACGTAATCATTTTTCAACTGCCCACCCCAACTGTTGTCTGACTTTGCCTCTTACTAATTACTGTTTTGAGAAAGCAGCTGTAACTAAGGCATATTTCAGGAAATCTTTCTAGATGCCAGCCTTTCCCAGGGCACACTTCCTTGTAAATTAATGTTACAGGTTGAAGGTAATTCATTATTTGTGCTTGTAAACTCTCATAGTCTTTCCTGATGCTTGTGTTTTGGAGCAGTCCTTCCCAGATTTTTTCACTGCATTGCATCCACAGAGGATGATGATATTTGCATGGGCCCACTTGGCTGCCATGAGTGCTAAGTGTATTAATAGCTAGATATGTATGCTCTGATACACCAGGTAAGTGGTCTGCTTTAATGTTTCCATAGAAACAATTAACATGAAGGTAATGGATATGGTTCTTCATAGCTTAAGTTCAGATAGTTTGATATGAGGACTCTCTTTGCTGAAGGATTGCCCATCTTACTTAGATCAAAGGGAGAACTATCCGCGTGGATCATGTGTCTAACTATCGGGCTCCTAAGGACTCAGATGAAATGGATGATGTGACCAGACAGCTTCAGGAGAAGGGCTGTGGGGCTAACACCCCCCCTCCAAGTTCATCTGAGGGCTCTGAAGATGACAGACCTACAAAAAGTCACAAAAAAGGTAACATAGAGCAAAAGGTAACAGGAGCAAATTCCAGGCAGTCTTAGTTTCTACTCTTCCTAGTATTCATGGATAGTCAACTCGTAATTGTGAAAGGGGAAGGTGTGGGGGTCCTTATTCTGAATGGGAAAGGGAGAATGTCAGAGAAGACTAGTAGTATGGTCAGAATTGTGTCCCCTCAAATTGCTTGGTCTTTGATTTTGGGGTGTTTTTTGTTGTTGTTTTGTTTTTTTACTGGGGATCAAACTCAGGACCCTTGTGCTTGCAAGGCAGGCATGGTGCCACTGAGCTAAATCCCTAGCCATGTGTCTCCTTAAAATGATATGTTGAAATTCTAACACTCAATACCTTAGAATATGACTATTTAGAGATAAAGGTCTTTAGAGAAGTAATCCAGGATGGGGATTGCCTTGTGCAGCGACTCAACATACCAGAGGTGACAGACACTGAAGTTGGCTTCTCAGAGGCACTTTCCTGGGCATAGAGCCTCTAACCATGTCATGCTGCTGCCAGGGCTGTTTTCCTTATGTACATTTTCCATCTGCTAGGATGAGGATAGTTTTTGGAACTATAACAAACACCTTGATTTGATGTGATGTACTCAGAGAACAAAGGCACTTTTTAGAGAGTCCTTTTATTATTTCCTTTTATTATTGATCCCCCCCCTTATGTCTCCAGATAAAAAAGGAAAAAAGAAAAAAAAGAAAGACAAAGAGAAGACTCACCAGGAGGTTCAGGCAGAGCAGCCGTCTTCCTCTTCACCTCCCAGAAGCAAGATGATAAAAGAAAAGGATTACCCTGGTCTGAAGAAGCACAGCAGCAAGAATTCGGAGAGGGTTCAGAAGCCTGAGTCTAGAGAAGGGAGGAAGCACTACCCAGGCTCCCCTGAGGTCAGGATGTCATGCCGTAGTGGAGCAGAGGACCCAGAGAAGGAGCCAAAGAAGGAGAAACTCAAGCATGAGCACAAGTCCTCAAGCAGGAAGGAAGTGAGAGAAGACAAGAACAGGGATCAAGACAAGAATAGGGATCGAGACAGAGGGCGAAGCTCAGATACACATTCTACTTGGCACAGTGGGCATTCTGAAGGGTGGAGTCGTAGAAGTAGAAGTAGAAGCCGAGATAAATCCTATAGGCATAAAAAGGCCCGTCGCTCCCGGGAGCGCGAGTCCTCTAATCCTAGTGACCGAAGGCATCACTGAAATCTCCTCTTGCCCAGTTCATTAAAAATAAACTGTTTAAAAAATGCCTGCCTTGCAAGCACAAGGTCCTTAGTTTGATTCCTGGAACCAGGCAGAAAAAGTTGTGAAATTCAATTCTGCTGTTAATATTTCTGTACATAAAATCTCTGGGGCTGAATTCTTTTAATATCTTGCATAGATTGTTGAGAGGGCTGTCATTTCAACAGCCAGATATCCTGCATTTTTTAGCATGAGCCCTGGGAATATACCTGGAACTTTAGAGTATGTGTCCTAAATTTTGGTTAATAAATATGGCCCTTCAACCCTAGACCTTAATTTGAGATGACATTTCCAGGAAAGGGAAAAACCAGGTAACTACAATTCTAGTCTTTGTGGTAGGTGTTTAGAACTGAACTTTCCAGTTGTCAGGCTCCCTAGATTCAGACCATTTTATGTGGATACAATAAGATCTTAAGAACAGCCAGTTCCCAGCCCACTTGAAAACAGTTTAAATGGTTGATGTTTTGTTTTTGTTTTTTTGTTTATATATTTGCATTTTTTTGGTTTATTTTTATTAATGTGAAATTAAAATAAAAGCAACCAGGGCCAGGGATTTAGCTCAGAGGCACCATGCCTGCCTCACAAGCACAAAGTCCTGGGTTCAATCCCTGGTACTAAGAAATAAATAAAAGTAACCATTTTGAGTGATTCAGTGGCATTTGGTACATTAACAGTATTGTAAAATCACCTCTCTAGTTCCAAAACATTTCCATCATTCCCACCCTGTTTCTGTTAAGCAGTAACTCCTCATTTCCTCTTCTACCAATCTTTTTCGTCCTGTGGATTTACTTCGGGTATTTAAGTGAAGTCCTACAATACTGATGTCTTGTGCCTAGTTTCTTTCACTTAGTAGAATGTTTTCAGGGTTCTGCTACATTGTACCATGTGTCAGGACTTTATTCCTTTTTCTGAGTGCACAACATCCCCATTGTACAGATAGTGGTGCCATGGTTTCATGAACTTAATTTGTTTTATGATTTGGGGGAAGATGGCTGCGTTTGTGTTTATGTGGGGAAGGTTACTGTGGTGTTACCCAATGTGGAGTTTGCGAACAGGAGCAAAATTTTGCTGAACACTTGTTTGCAAATCAAACTGTTTGTGAACAGAAGCATTTGTGAACTGAGGTATTGTTTTGCATTTTGTTGATAGATGGACATTTGGGTTGTTTACACCTTTTGGCTGGTCAGCTTCCTTTTTGTGTTCCAAACATAGCAGGCCTTCTGAGCTTAGTCTACTTTTCAAATAGCCATTTGTCAGCTCCATTGCCTCTCTATGGCTTGTTTAGCAGTTCTTTCTCATTGTAACTCAGCTTTCTTACCAGTTAGACCTTGTGGTTTGTTATGGTGTTTGTGGCCTCCTGGTGTCAGGTAGTTATGTACCTCTACCTGGTTTTTATTACTGTGGGACTTCCTCAACTCCTGTGGATGTTGCTGGACCTCTTTTGTGAGGGTCTACCTTTCCTCCCTAGGCTGAAGAGAGGGCTTCCTCAGGAATGCTGGTGCTCCTTTCACAGTGTGTTCCTGTTGGACTCTGTGCATGAGATGTCCTCTTTTGGTGCAGTAGTGGACCTCATACCAACCATCTAATTCAGCATGTCCACTTTCCTTGACTTTTTTATTTCTTCCTCTAATGTTTGCTGTGGCAGCTCCAGCCTTGTGTTAGTTACTTTGCTATTCCTGAAGTAAAGTAACCTGATAACCTGCAATTTGGAGGTGAGGTTTATTTTGGCCTATGGTTTCAAAGGTTTCAGTCCGTGGTTAGTTGGTCAGGAGAACCAACATAGTGGCAAAAGCTGTTCATCTCATGGTGGCCAGAAGCAGAGAACATGAGAGCCAGAGATAGGAGCGGGCTGGTGACATGATATATCCTTTAAAGGCATGCCCCCAAAGACCCACCTCCTCCAACCAGACCGTACCTCCTAACAACATTCAGTCATGATGAATCCACTAATGAATATAGCACCTCCACGATTCAGTCACCTTCTAAAAGTCCCACCTCTGAACACTTGAACCTTTGGGGAGACATTTTAGATCCAAATCATAACAGGTCTCTACTTTGTTCAGTGCTAACCTTTACTTTCACCAGGTTTCTGAGAACCTGTTCAGTAGAGCCTATTTATCCTTGTAGTCCTTGCCAGAGGGTTAAATCCTGTATCCTTAGAAAGTAATTCCAAGTCTGAATTCTTGCTTTTCTGGCCCTTTAGTGATAGCATCCTTGAAATCCAAACCCAGTTGCTTCCTTGGCCCCCATGTTGAGTGTCATCTGATTCTAGCAGCTCTTCAGTGTATGTGCTTTATTAGGCCTAGTACTTCCCTGGCCAGATTATGTTGAGATTCAGGCCTTCCGAACTGTTAATAATCAGGAGAGGCTGCAGATGGCTTCTTTGTGGGGATTATTGGTTGCCTAGTAGGAAACAGCTTCTGTAGATCTTCCTGTGTAGGGGAAGTGCCAGCTTCTACTAAGGAACAGTGGAGCAGCTTCAGGGCTGGCACTGTCAGGACTTTCTGTGTAGGTATTCCAACCCCATGTTTCTGGGTGCCAGGTGTTTCCAACCCTAGGAAGTTGTATAGCCCTGAGTTCAGCAGAGCAGATTGAGCATTTAAATCTCCCTGGAGTTCTGTAGCTCTCACAGCTTCTCTAGGACAAAGGGCGTCTTTATAAGCCTCATAGAAGCCCCCTGGCTCTTCCACTCAGTCTTCAAGTGTTTACTAGCTGTGAGTTGTTCCTCAGTATGCTGTTTAACTGCCTGCCATTTTTCAGTACTCTGCTTTAGGTCATCAGTAGCACTTCACACTGTTAGCCAGCCTTATCCACTCTTGCAGCTTTTGTGCATGTCTGAGTCAGTGCAGCTGCAGGGCCCTTCTCCCAATTTATCTCCACAGAAATCCTTAGCAGTTGGACTGCCACCCTGTGCCTGGAGCTGTTTGTGCCCCACATCCTCCCCATGACAGTGTCCAGAACCCCTTATCATGGCTAATATTCCTGGACCACCCAACCATTTGTGCTAGCTGGCTCAAGAAGCAGATGTGAACATGGTATTAGACATACAAGTGGCTGATTAGTGGAAAAGAAACCAGATGCAAATCTAAACCCGGAGGAGAGTAGCGGGAAGGCAGAAAGGGTGAGGAGGAAAATAATTGTGCAATTCTAAGACTGGTTCAGCAAAGCAAAAGTGTCTGTTGGGAGAGGCAGTGCTGCTGGGCCTCAAGCGCCCCCTCCTGTTCTTTGTGGGTGTTTTTAACTGCAAGGCTCATCTGTTTGCTAGTACTCAGCTATTGCTGCAGTCATAGGGCTACAGAGTAGGGCCAGTAGACCATAGTATGACTGCTGTATAGCTGTTCACTTCCCAGGGTGAAGGCATTGGTTTGTTTGCCCATTGCTAGAGAATTTCTAAGCCTTTGACCTCAGATTCTTCAGCTGCATTGCAACCCTCATGTGTAGCATCGATCTGAACCTGTTGCATTGCTCTGTGGGACTTGGGGGCAGGGAAGCTGAAGAAACTATGTGGATGCCCATATTTGCTGTACTAAATAAAATAAACTGACTTACTCTAACCCATGAAATCTGCCTACTTTCTATATTTGGGAAGTTAATGGCAGGTTTACACTGCCATCCTTTGTGAGGTTTGGAATCTTCCCTGGCCCAAAGTTGCCTGTTAAGGAGTCCCATGTCTTGCAGAAATGGTCTGCCTTAGTGACTGCCACACTGAGATATGCCCATGGGAAGTCTGGGCTTGGTGAAGATACACTGATGGATGGTGGGTTTCAGCCTTGTTGGGTTTCAGCTGCAGCTCAGCAGGATTGGATTGCACAGTTCAACAGCTGTGGCCAGCACTTAAGCTCTCTGTAGTCAAGAGATCTGAGAGGCCCAGGTACAATCTGCACTAGGCCCAGCCCAAGACAACCCACTAGCTTTTGGCTTTCGTTCATCTTTGCGAACAGTGAATATTTCCTTGTTCCTTTCATAGACTGACTTCACACAGGGCAGTTTGAGTTCATTGGCAGACAATTTTCAGTGACCTCAAAGCCAAACAGCCACATTGAATGAAATACAAAGTATGCTTTTTAGTTCTTAGCATTACCTGTTTTATAGATGTGGCTTAATTAATGCCTGAATCTCTCTCTCTGTTCTGCTTACTCTAACCTACTGGGCTACTAAATAAGTACCTGTCTTGACAGTTTATGGACTTGTTGACTTTTAAATTGGAAATCATCCTTATCTGGTACAGACCATCCCTTCTGTAAACATTTTGAAGCTCTTTGAAAGAAATAACCTGATTATCATCTAAATGACATTTTAGTGAAGTGTACAGTGCTCTGCGCTGTGCTGTTATGACCAAAGAATAAATCCCAATGCTTCCTGGTGTCTTGTTTTATCTGAAAATGTAAACTTAGAAGACATAATTTTGGGTGTTATTATTTACATTACGAAGGTTTTAACCTATACTTCTTCCTTTATTAAATATGTGACTCCTGATTTCTGCAAGTGTTACTGGAAACTGCACTGTAAAATAGAATGATAAAAATAGGCTGTATTTCTTTCAGTAGGAAATAATCAACACTTATGTTTGTGATAAGCACTGAGCATTCAATAAATTAAGCATAACCAGTAGTATGTCATCCAAGGTACACTGATCCCTAGATGAATCATTAAAAACACTAAAATTATATGCCAGGTTCTATAATAGGGGCAAAACCTTATGACACATTCTGTAAGGCATGTGTCACACAGATGTAGAACTATTGTACATTTAACCTCAAGCCAATATGCTCTCTATAATAATATCAGGAAAAATTTGAGTACTTTTTGCCAGCTTAGAATTTTGAAAGGTATTTTGGGGATGATTGAAGTTGATCTACCCTCTTTAAAGAAGCTGTTTAAAGAAGTGTTAAGTGAATGCTTTCTTTTCTCTTGTGCCTCTCGAGCAGCTGAGGCACTTGATACTATTTCACTTCAGATTTGAATTATAATTTGCTTAAGAAGTGATGTTGGTGATGATTATGATGATCAAGTGGAAAGCAGTTATTAGCAAGCAACTAGTAACAACAAAAACCCTCATATTTAAATCCCTAAGTTCTTTGGGTTTTTATTAGCGTACTATACTGCCTTACTGATAAATTGATAAAAGTTTACTGTGTAATTATGAGTGAACATTTGACCTTGTATACTGTTTTCACTTATATGTGAATTTCTATGTATTCATATCACTATGCCACAGGTATATAACATTCTTTCCTAATGCACAACATCAGTCTCCTACTTGAATTGTTTTTATTTTTCATGATAAAAATTTTTATGGAGATTTTTATATAGTCCTTAAAAATCTTTTTTCTTTCCTTTAAGGTTTTTGTGGACTATATTCCCTCAGATGGAGTGACCAGCTCCAAAAGCACATATAAAACCATAGCTTGTCTTATTGTCATATTACTTTTAAGAAATATCACATTTGGAGAACTGTTGGCATTGTAGAGCTCATGTGTAATTCATTTCGACATTGTGGGAAA